AATGAAAATACAGGGTGGTTGGTAACTGGTGGTACAAGCGGAAAAAGAAGTCGAAAATATAGAATAAAAAAATGTAAAAAAATTTTTTTTTTAATTTTTCCATCGAGACAACGATCTACAGTGAGATCCGTTATCGCACCGCACGCGTACCGAGCGAAAATTCAAGGTCGATTTTCTCGAAAACAAATCCTCAAACGAAAAATTTTTATTCTATATTTTCGACCTCTTTTTTCGCGTAGAATCACCCCTTTTCCGCTTGTACCACCAGTTACCAACCACCCTGTGTATTTTTGACATTTATAAGGCATTATAATTACATACATACATATATCCGATTAAAAAGAGAATTAAAAAGAACCTTGTTGATACAATTCATTGCGACTTTAACATTGCCAATTCGCATTTCACGTAATCCTAAAGCCAACATAGTTCTGGGCCCAGTGTCTTCTGGCAATTGTAAATTACGATCCTGTTTCTGCTTTATTTTTAACGATTGTTTAATATCTTTGGTTCCCATATTTACCGCGGCAGCGCGATCCTTATCAGTGTATACTTCTTCCTGGTGGCGAGTACCATTATTTAGGCGGCGTCATTTCTTTTTCTTTTGAATATTCACTTCTGATTCGACTGACAGTTTATTGGATTTACTCTCCCGTTGCTTTTTATTATTTTTCCTATCTTTTTTATCATCATTAATGTGGCTTTCTTTATCGTCATTATCGATGAACTCTTTGTCGGGACAGGTTCCCAAAGATGGAACCTTATCGAAATCTTCCGATTCTTCGAACTGTTTCAAATTTGAAACGCTTTCTGCGGCTACTCGCACGTAGCTTTGTAATAGATCATGGTGATGTATCGTTGGATTCAGTATACCCATAATCTTCGAATCAATATCGTCTTGGGTATCCGTAGTTTCTGATACAAGTACTTCACCCATCGTTGGTTATTTTTGTTACGTTTGATCTTGGATTAATTTCCTTCTTTTTTAAAGATGAAATAATGTTGGAAATAAAAGGAAGATTATAATAACAAATACGAGAAGAAAGAAAAATCGCTTTTTGATACTTTTTCTTTATGTAATTTATATTTGTTTTTGTGTAAAAAATATTTTATGTTAAGAAAATATTTTAAAATATCACTGTGACGATTTTCGATCCCTTTTTTGCAAATAGTAAATGGAAACCGACAGAACGAATTCACTAAGCGCGTTTCATTCACGAAAATAGCTTAGAATGCAAGGTAAGTATGTACTACTTTGTGTGATTTGCGTGTGGAATAGACGTGTGGTTATCGACACCTTGGTTAGATGCCTTGTTTCCTTAGAAACAGTCAACAATGCGGGCAAATTCGGTATGTAAAAATCACTGATCGTACGTGTGCAAAGGAATTTCAAGTTACTTTAGTTTGTGTTGTCAGGAAGTATTTATTTTATCCTGTGACATTCAAATTTTATTATTATATATTATTCAAATTTCGTCGGTAGAAACGCCGGTAGATCTTTAAAATTCATAATTGTACAGTATCAAGTTCTGAGTTATTTTAGAGAAGCATTTTTTACTTCCAGCTTTTCCGCTTAGAATAAAGACTCATTCATATTGTAATTACGTCAAAATTTTTTACTATGCTAGAATTTCGTATTACATTATAAAAGATAAAATAATATATGTATGTTTTATAACCAAATTAATAAGATACAAGAAACTACTACGAGAAAAACTGAAAACCTTTTTAAACGATTTCTATGGATTCATTGATAAAGTCGTGACCAATATTATTTGAAATAATTTAATAAGTTCATGTTAGCAATTATAGTTAGTAAATTCTAAATTTTATTGATTTGCTACGCATTTTTTAAATCATATGTTACTAATCTTTGTATCAATTAAAAATTTCTTTCTTTCATATTTTTAAAAGCAATACCGATTACATTAAAATCGTTCTTAATAATCGAATTATTTTATAATTCTTATTTAATGTAAACTTAATCGTCACTATTTTTTTATTAACATTAAACATGCTTATTATTATATTTTCTACTACTTGTATAATTTTGTAATAGTTCTTTAACTATAAATATCTGCTAGTAAAAAAATCGATGTGTATTTGTTTCGATGTAATAATATATAGTAAAATTTAAAGGGCAAACTGTTGCGGAACAAATTGTTCTGGTATTGTACATATTTCCTTGCTATGCAAATATATAAATAAATAAATATATATATGTACAGGGTGTTAAAAATGATTTGTCACGAGTATCATAGCATTATTCTATATTTCTGGTTTGGTGAAGGTTTGTAAAAAAAATAGTCATCGAACTGACCTTGATCTTGAAATTCGTGATTTATGTCAATTTGGCGGCTACTTTTTTTGCAAATCTTCACTGAGCCAGAGGTGTAGAATAATGCTATGTCACTTACGATAAATCATTTTCGAATACTCTCTATATATATAGGTCTAAGAATAATGTGATATTCTCTTTTTAACGGTATAATAAGAGCGTGGTAATCGTAAGTGGTACGGTAAGGTATCTTTTTTTATAAAATGAGTTGTTTTCTCTATTATTAATAACAATACAAATATACAATAAATATTATATATTTCTATAAATATTCTTGTTAAAATTAAATTAGTAAAAAGATAGATCGGTAGTTATTGTCCTAATGAAGTTGGAGAAAATCAATGATAATATTCATTCGATCACATTATTATATCTGTTAATAGCTCATATGTGTATATTTTTTAATAGTACATTATACTAATAACTTTAAAGAAATAATTCAAACAATAAGCTGACAATTAATACATAATTGTCAGTTGTTAATAGAAAATGTAGTAATATTACTTAAAATATACCGTTTCAATGTATTTTATGTTATACGCATATGTAAAAGAAGAATAATTTATTCCTACAGAGAAAATATGATTTTGAGTATGTATTTATTTAGTACTTATCAAAATTTCCAATTATACAAAGATAAATTATAATACATTTCAATTTCTTAAACTTAACTTTAAATTTAATATTTTAGCATCTTTCTTGTTTTCTTATATACAATTGAACCAATCGCACACATGGGTTATTAGCGAAGCAAAAGGATTAAAAAGTTACAGGGGTTAGAAATTACTATATAATTTAGACTATTGCAAATAATTTAACAACTCTTGAGCTGATTATTTACTTCTTCACTACACTTCGATACATCAATTCTCATAATTAATTATTCATTTATAAATGATAATATTTTAAATGTGTTCAAATACGTGAAATTAAAAAACTTACTTTATTGTAAAGGTATATGGCCTTATGGTAATTTTCATTTTTTACGTGGACCGTCGCTTCATTTACTAACAATTTCTTTTTTATGGAAGCGAAATATTTTGCTTGTGATATCGCTTTTTGATGATTTACCATATTAATTTAATGCCTACAATGTGTATTTTGTTAAATGTTTAGTTATATATTATACATATAGATATCCTCTGGTGCGCGAGCAAAAGAGTATAAATTAGAATTATTAGTTTTACAGAGAAGCATATATAATATCTAGAATGCAACGTAAGATCACATGTTAGATTTTGGATATACATATTATTAAAATCTCAGCTAATGTACTGTATACTATTAGAGTCGTAAGCAAAAGACAGCATTGCAGAAAAGGTATTAAATTTATTCTTTTACCCACTCACTTGAGATATATAATCAATTCATGTTTCAGCAAAATATATACAATTTATTATTGTTATAATTATAGAAATAGTTTCATAAATATAAATTTAATTTCATCTAGTTTGTAGTTACATAATTTGTCGTACTTTGAAATTAACCAGTTATGAAAAAATTGCAATTTTTCTTTTATTTATGTTATATAAATAAAATAATAGGGAAAATCGAACATTTTTATCAGGATCCAATATGGAAAGAAATGCTTTTCGCTATATTAAGAAGGATCATAAATTATTGAATTTTATTAAATCATAAATTGTGGGGGATTAACAGTTTCTCAAATATTATAGTGCATATTAATAAATAATTCCACTTTATTTTCTTGAAAAGCAATTAAATAAAGGATTTGCTAAACTTAAAATGTATGTATTTAATTTTAATGAACAATTTTTTAGGACGTAATAATTAATAAATTATTCGTTTAAATAGCAATAAACTTGCTCATTTAAAGAACAAGAATATTCCTCTAATAAACAGACATACACGTCTATAAGAGGAAGATATAAATAAAAAAAAATATATATATATGACATATTTTATTAATATATGATATGTAGCTCACCCCTAAATTCCGATCTTCATTTGCCAGAACAACCTTTTTAATCAGTTGAATTTTATACACATTTGTATATTTAGTACTTGCGAAGTTCAAGGGAGATAAATTCCTACTCAAATAAATAACGCAAACTTTCTGAGGCTATCTTTAATTCTTAACTTACGACCGAAACTTTTCCGTCTATACAATTTGTACTGTCTCCCTACTCTTAGTAATCAAGACTAATCAATATGACAGTAGTAACAAGTAACAAGGATGGCTATTCTTTTAGGACTTTTTCTTTTCTTTAAAATTCGTAATAGAAATATCAATAAACATATCTCGAGTACTAACTTCCTTATTTTTTAATTATATTCTCTACCAAAAAGTCACAGTAACTAAAACAATCATTTCTCATAAATTAATTTAGTATTATCAAGAAATGTTCTTAATTTGTATAAATGTACTTAAATGTTAATATGTAAAGTATGTATATATACGAAAAAAATGAACAAGAATTTTACATACAGTAGAGTCTCACTTATTAACTCCTCATTTATATGAACAAGTTAACGTTGAGCTTTTATTATCCAAAGTATAGTCGAACATTATTTCAATTATACACGCACAAACACGTAGTTTGATAATGGATATGTTAATATATACAATCTATATTTTGTACTTAGAAACTATCTGCATGTCAAAGAAGGAGCAATTTAAAATCTTAATACTTAAATTCTACTATTCGAGTTAATAAGAAAAGCTTAATGGAATAATTAGTCAATCTTTACTATAAGGACTGCTCGGTTATCTGAACTGCATTGTTTTCCGACTTGTTCGGATAAGCGAGATTGTACCTTTAGATCTTATTCTTTTTTCTTCTGAGAAATCTAATGATTAAGATAATTTGCTAATTCGCTAATAATGGACTATTTATAATATGAGTGTATATATATATATACACATATATATACTTAGAAAATTATTTCCAAGTAAAAATATAACTAAATTATTTGTGTATATTCGTAACAGTAATATTATTTTATAGTAATATTTTAAAATAGTAAAATATGATAGTAATTATAAAAATATAATTCAAATTCAAATGATAATTTCCAGATAATTATATTTATTAAATAATTATTATGTAATATAATAAAATATATGTATATATAGAACATATATAATAAAATATAATAGAAATCAAAGTAAAAAAACTAAACTAAAATTTATAAAATATAATCACACAATATTTAACTATAAAGAAAAGCAAAGTACTGTATCAGTATAATGCCAAAAATAGACATAGCAATAAGTGGCAAGTGAGATCAAATAGGATTTAGATTTCAAGACGAATATTTATATTTATATGTAAACATATGTTAACATATAAATATAACATTATGTTAAGTTATAATTAGGTCTTAAGGTTATATGTTCTATGTTATGTCATACTACCCATAAAAGCAGATATAAGGATATAACACCAAAAGTCCCTCAAGACCCGAAAGGGCACATGTAATGCCGATAAATAATACAATATTTCATTTAACACTAAATTCTGACAATACATATTTTTCAAGAACAGACGGCAGAATTTTTGAAGACTTTATAGTCAGATACAATATTTTCAAGCTACAATAACTCAATTATTGATAGTAATTAATAATATATTAAATAAATATAAATATTAAGTTTCATTATATTTATTTACATTTAATTACATATTATCTTTATTATAATTACTCTATGCAAATCTACATGACAAATTACACTGGAAATATATTACTGCGGTGGTTTCCATGGTATAATTTTTGGCTTTGTAGTAGTATAAGGTATGTAAGCTTCGTTGGTACCACTTAAATTTGGTTTGTGATCTGCCATCCACGAATGTTTTGGCCGATTAGGATCCTTAGTAGGGATTAAATCGGTTTTATAATGTAACCATCCAAACCATTCTGCTGGGACTTGAGAACCATCATAATCCATATGAACTTCTTCAGAATATACTACCCATCTATTAGAACCTGTTGTAATGAGCATAACAGAAACTTTTTAATTACAGATAACTTCATTGTTTAGTATAATGGTCAACTTTTGTTTATAAACATGATGTTCTTAAATTATACTTAATTATATTAAAAAAGCTGTGTTTCTTTAAAAATATAGTAAGTATATATGTATTTGTCTATCTCAGTATATAATAGTACAATATCTTTTGAAATATTTTACACATTCATACTATAAACAAATAAGAAAAGAATTTTCATTTTTTGAACTTACCAACAAAGTATGAATTATTTTCGTAGTATTTGTTGCCATATTTATCCACACCTACTAAAGTACCAGCTTTTAATTCATCCATTCTATAATGTAATATCACATAATGTTATTTGTGATGTTAAATTATTTTTATATGTTTATGTTGAATTTAAGACAGAAAATAAATATCTATAATCTCACAATCATAAATATTTAAAAGATTAGGTTTACTACTACAAAAGAAATTTTCAATTCTATAGATAATTACAAGAAGTATTGACATATATAAATACTATTTAAGAAAATATTATATACAACAATTGTGTTATGCTAACCTGTATAATGTGAACAAAGAATTTAAAATACCACCATTTGCTTTTATTGTACGCCAATAATTACGAGCTCTGTCCAGTCCCATAAACTTTGCGATATTCGCCATGTTTCTAAAGATATTTTTACGTACCTTACAACACAGTCACATATACCGACTATGCCTTACAATTATAAGTACGAGTAATATGACGTACGACCATAGTAATATCCTTAACTACGCAAAATAAACATCTTTCAGGTTAATTATAGTTGTATACAATATATGTTATACGTATTTTCTACAATAGAAATACAAATATTGTTTAGAAATTTCATGTATGTAAGTATTATTTATATATGATCGATCTTATATGCGTGCAATATAATATTTTTATTTATAATTGTCATAATTTTAAAAATCTTGAATGTTGAATATGATTTTTTAAACAAAGAGTAACAACATATTTTGTATGAAATTTAAAAATAATTTCATGTTGTTTATATGGAAGAAAAGCTGCTTAATAGCAGATTTACTATCTGATAGCAGTTAATAGTTTAATAGTGAAGCGATTAACGTTGTAAGCGCGGGAATTGTTCAAGTTTAATCATACATTTGTCTCTAAAAAATTGATGTAAAGTATTTCAATTTGTTACGTCGATTAATAAAAATACTATAATATTAAATAAGCAACAAAAATGTACTAATAGATATATATTCAATAAATTATAATACAGCTTCAAGAAATAAATGGAGATGGAAACAAAATATATGAAACATGTACTAACTCTAGAAGAAATTATAATAAGCATTATGCCTCGATATCTGAGACATATTAAATTAAAATATTATTTTAAAAATTTTTGGATTTTTTAAATCTTTTGAAGATCGTAAATAGGAAATATATAAATTGATTATTATCATAAAAGCATTTATTTTTAAATGTGTGTAGTTATTTTGTACATATTTTTTAAATCACCAGCTCTAGAACATGCAAAAATTGGAAATTTCTTACCTTAAACGTAAGGAACTAGGTCAAGTTAACACAAAGGTAGGTTAATAAAGAGAAATTATCTTGATAACATGTGTACGATACTCAATTACGTCAAATACAATGCAATCATCAACGATACAAGTAATGCCTTAGGGAGAAAGAGAAATGGATTCCTTAAGTCATGATTGTGTTGAGTGATATACAAGAAACATGAAAACTAGTGCAGTATGTACATCCAAGCAGCTGTAAAGCTGGCATGAGGATAATCAGTTCAGACATAAAAATGAGAAAATAAAACACTTGAAATGCTACATATTAGTAGAAAAATTAGAATATGCAAGTCAAATAGTATAACAATGATCTCATAATACCAGCATTAAAAAATAAATACTGAACAATATCACAAGTAAAATGAAATATTTTCATATTATATTATAATATATAAGTATTATAGTTTATCTCATGGATACATATATATTACATTATTATTATGCATACTACATTAGCCTCTAATGTATGTTATAATGGTTAGAACAACTATCCATAAGATAAGAAAATATATACTAAATAAATCAATCTGCTACGCCAAAGAACCTCCTTGTAATAGACATAAAGTCTAATATACAATAAAGTACTATTATTATTATTATTATTATTTATATAAATTTCTTTTTTATTACTTGAAAGAACAAAGTTTCTAATTAAATTCATAGTCCGAGATATTTTTTTTTTTTAATGCGTTTGTTTTTTCTTAAATTTTCTATATTCATTTTCAAAATTTTAGTCTAACCATATTGATGTCAATGTAATGAACTATGTTTTATATCAATTAGAAAACATAACATATAATGATTAAATTAAATCGATAGCTTTATATAAAGAAAACGAAGATAGAAACAGATATTTTAGTATGCAAACTGCAACAGTAGAAAAAAGGCGAACTAGATATCAGAAAAAAGCTAACCATGAAGAAAAGCAGAAATATAAGAATAAAATTATTAGTAAAGCTGATAAAAAGATCGAACTCGATAAGAGAAAAGTGGAAGCCCCGAAAAAACCTAGAAAGGTATTTGAAGATGTAGAAATAGCATTTATCTCTGCTATAGATCCTTATGACGCTCCTTTGCAATGGTGGGAAACAGAACACGTAAGATATGCGTAAGTTATAATTTCTACCGCTTATATTAATTTCTTGTCATTCAATTAAAAATCATTTTGTTCTTTTATAGAATTTATATTACTATAAATTTATAATATAGATATTATTAATTCTAATCTTTCGTATCTACGTTTAAAAAAGTATTAGAAACAAAATATTGAATAATATTGTCAAACTACTTATATTAACAAACTTATACTAACAAATTTATACTAAAATACAATTATAAATTTTGGACCTGTAATCTCTATTTGTTACTACTCGTGTATTTGTGATTTATATAATTTTTTCATTATTTTTTAAATATTATTGATTCATTTGTTATTTCTAGAATAAATTATCCACCGGTAAAATCCCGATTAGAAAAAGTGATGGGAACTCATATCGTACGACTAACCGATCGCAAATACATGTTGCTCCTTATGTCCAAGCTCTTACAGGATCATATGGAGCAACAAGAAACGCGTATCGAGAAGAGAAAGCTGCCATTACCATCGAATATATCTCGCTTATTGAAAATATCTTATAAAATGCTTTCCGAAAAGATACACGATCCTAGATATCTTAAATTAAAACTTTATGTGTGAAAAATTGTAATTATCATGTATTTAAAATTAAATTAAAATTGTAAAATTGTATATAATATAGAAGATAATAAAATATTGAAAGTACTAAATATTGTGCCACCATATTTCTAGCTGTTATTCTTTTTACAACATATTCTATTAATACATTGAAAAGTATTATATTATGTTATTAACAAAATTATACTTTCTAAATAAAACAATTTAAAAAGCAAAAAATTAATAATATTATCTATAGCATGCAATCATGTTAGGAATATTATTAGTTCTACATTGTGACAAGGAAATAAAAATATATTTTTATTTTATTGAATCAATCTCTAATTCTAATTAACGCATAATGCAGTATTTAATAAATTTTACGATACATATTCAACATCATAAGGTATATTTTTGACACGCTAGAGTTTACAAAAGTAAACTTAAAAAATAAAGATTTTTACGTCAACAGATTTTTATCTTGTAAAATCCTTAAGTATAAAAATCAGTATCAAATATAATCAGTGTCAAAAATATCAGTATGAAAAACCTAAATATTATGAATGTGGCACTTATTATTCACAGAATATTTACTAAACTAAAACTAAATAACACTAAATATGTCTAATAAAATGTTTAGTAATGTCAAGATTGATTAAAGATTTAATTTTAATACAGATAATTTGCATTTTTTTATTGTCATATCGAATATATGTATAGGTTCTTTATAATCTAACATTTCAAACGAGATAATAACTTTTAAAGATTTTAATAATTTTCTAATGATTTTTTAGGTACTCTTTTTTTGTGTATTTTAATACTTGTGAGTGGAGGGGTGTATGTACAATACATTTTCGTCCTCGCTGTTGTTCATTATTTCAAAAAGATCTGTTTCTGGAACATTATTGGATAAACATTGTTTAAATCGCAAGCGTTTAAAAAGTAGAAAATAAGTTAAAAGTATTTCAATTATTACCTAAAATTTCTTTTTTGCAGGGCACAGAATTTTTCCACGAATCATATAAACTAAAAGTTTTAATTTTAGGTTCAGGAATATATTTATATTCGTGACTGGACCACCCAATCGTTTCCAGTTGGTTGCTAAAAATTCTAAATTAAATATGTATTTCTTAATCCTAAATAATTATTTTATTCAAAATTCAAAATTATTCGTCAATAAGTAATTTATCAAAGATAATTTTCTACTATCAATTAAAGTTTTAACAAACGGAATGTGTACACTATGAAATAAATTGATCTTAAATAACACAGAACAAAAATTAATTATGTAAAAGTATATACATATTTTACAAAAGCTTTAAACCACTTTAATTGCACTATATTTTAATTGTAATATAATTCATATTTACTGATATATTTCTTCGAGTTTATGTTTTTTAGGTGCTTTCACCAGTGGTTCAAATATAGGGATTGTTACTGGATAATAATGTACATGATAATGATCTATATGAGGCCTCTTTCTTGCTTCTTTTTTTTCTTTTGACGATTGAAACAAATCCATTAATAGCTTTTTAGGGCTGAAATACAAATTGTCAATGTACGATCTGTTTTCTTCATATAATATCGTTATTAAACACACTATAACTAACATTTAATGTAAATCTAGGGGGAATGTATATATTTAATAAATGAAAATTAAAATTACTATGACACTAATTTAACAGTAAATTTAATTAAAAAAATAAGTTTTATCATCGACAAGACTAAAATTTAACTTTACTTACTGTTCGAAGAAAAATCCTTCGGACATAGGAACTAGCAATATCGGTAAAACTAAAATAAACTGAAAATCATTAAGAAGACTAATTTATATTTTTTAAATTTTAAGTATTCTGATGTATATGTTAAATTTGGAACAACAAATTATCACTGTAATCTTGAAAGTAAAAGCTACATTTTTCGAATTTATAATTTTTATATTGCCCACAAGAAATATGAAAATCTATAAAGGAAAGAATTATCGACACGAATTTTTCTTAAGTATTGATGATTAAAGTATAGAATAAACATATTATTTAGAATTTTTATTATTTACTTGCAACAATAATTCACTTTTCATTATGAAATGCTAATTTGCGTGCTCTTATAATACGGTCTGATCTGCTATGTAGATCGAGTAATAAACTGAGTGTGCCAATGAAACACGACCTTCTTATATCTACCCGCTTGCTTTCCATTCCTGTGTATACCCCGAGGATTTTGTTCTGCGTAGTTTTTCTTCGTACTTCATATATGGCTTTATGCGAACTTATTTTTTATTTTATTGTATGCTCTATGTACATAAGCAAATATGTGTCAGTAATAATTCCAAGGAGAAATCGACTCCTTAATAAATTTAAGAAAGTCATAAGAAATGTTGTAAATGACTTCAAAGTATCAATAAATAACTTATTGTAGCCATTTTATTCATAATTAAGGACATATCACTGTTTAAACCAAGGAAAATCAACAATTAACAATAAAAAATATATGTATATATTCCCTGATTCTATAAAATATCAGTCGAATACATTAACTGTCCTAAATAAAATTTTTTACGTGTGTTCTTCGCTGATTTATAAAGTAGTAAGAAAGTATACCTATTCATTTTAGGAAGTACAAGATCAATTATAAAAGCATCAGATTGATTGCACTCATTGCGAATACATATATGTATAATTTGTCTACATATATATAATAAGAATATGTATTTTTTTAGAAAAGGAGGAGAAAGGAGAAGAAGAAGAAAACATCAGTTCAAATCAAAGAGGACTGTAAGAAAGAAAGATAATTTTGTCTTTTTTTCGAAATTTGTTCTAGAATCAGTTCTGGAATCTATGATCTAGAGAAAGCTTCGTGACATAAAGAGGACGTATCTATGATATTGACGTGTTATTGCTGGACAGGTTTCACTTTTGATTTTTCGTGTAACGTAGGTATGTATGTAATATCGTGATGGAATATATTTACAATGAATGGATGATACAGGTGTTAATCAGACAGAAAAACAATAGTTGTTTAACATGAACTAATCGCAGCAAACGTATAATAATCAGCACAACTAAATAATTAATCAACGATTCGACTTTCATAAACGCGATCACACTCTCTCGGCAACGCAACTCGCAATCACTGTTGATTCGTCTCTCGTCCCTTAGCAACCGCTTGTGGCCAAGATCACGTAGGCCTCCTCTTTCCAAAACTACGCGATCGAAAAGAACGCCTCGGCTCTCGCGACATTCCACGCGGTTCACCCGCCAACTCCTAGGTCCCTCGCTCGCGATACTACATGTATGTACTTACAGTTTATCTATTCATATCTAATACACATTACATGTTAAAATGTAGAACTCTTATAATGATGAAATGAAATAGAGATGTGTGTATAGTTTCTTGCTTACATTTTGCACTGAAATAATATAACTACAAAGTATAATTCAGACATTATCTCGTAAAAGTTCATTTAAAATATTTATTTTAAATATTTTCAAAAATCAACTAATTCAATGTATATATATTAATTACACTAAATTATAGTATAAACTCATTAATTATTATTAATATAAAAAAATTATCGATATAATTAACGAAATAAAAGCTTCACACTGCATTATACACATCGTATCGTATGTATGTGAACGTATGTTCAATAGACCATATACCAAAAATATGGATTAGCATAGCTAAAATATAAAAATTGTCATTATTTTAAATTATATTATAATTGTATTATATTATAACAAATAATAAATCAAAAGTATAACATGAACAAATTGGAATTTAAGAAAAATTGCAATAGATAAAACTGTTTTATAAATTGAAAACAGAATTAATATTAATATTTAAAAAAAAAATTAATCATAAAGTGTTCTTGGCGTACTTTATAGTTATTTCATAGGTCTCCCTTAATTGATTTTCATAATGTATTTTAAAAAGTAACATAGAAAATAAGATGTAACAGGGTTTAAAAAAACATGGAAAATGCAAGAAATAGAATTCACTTTTGTTTTCAAACTTACAAAATAGATATGTTTCATTGCCAATAGATAACGAAATCAAGAAATTTTCTTCCGCGGAAATATTTATTTATTCTGTTTTTTCACAATAAAGAAGTAAATAGTGTTATATTGTAAACTATATGTATATCAGTATGTAAATATTACATGTAATTTTAATTTTATTAAATCATTGCTTTTATCTTTATTAATTTATAAATTTATAGTTAACATCAGCATTGCATATATTCGATGTTATCCTCGGTATTGGATTCCATTGCTTTCTTCTTTGAGGTTAATGTCTTTTGCTTAATGCCCTCTGCGGCATTGTATATTATAAATATATGATACTATAAATGCAATGTTTATGAATATAATTATTTAAATATATTATAAGAAAGATTGCTTAGAATTAATTAAAAAACTTTTTAAAAGGAAATCCCTATGAATTTGATTAAAATCTAAGACTATCGAGTCCTAAGATCGGACTTTCAGCATCAAAACATGTGGATGAACCGCGAAATAAAGGAGAAAGATAGAACAAAAAAGAAAGGTTTCTTCTCAAGACCACCAATTAAACTGCTCAATCGAATTACATTTAATAGGTCCTATTCTATTCCTGTGCCTATAAAATTGAAATTAATTTTGGAAGTTGTATATAAATTAATGAATACTGGAATAACGAATAATTTACTATGTACTTGTGAGGAGATAGTAGACATCTTGCGGCTACTGTTGAACTACCGTCACTCGTTAAGTCTATACACGTTCGAGAGACGTGACACTATATAAAATATCAGTACGAAACTATCGCGTCAGCGTATAAGAAGATAGTAATATTTCCAGTAGTATTGAAAAGTTTATTTTAAGACATCATATTCAGACAAATATCAACTTTTATTTGTTTAAATACTTGATATATAATAGGAGTCAATATGTCGATTAACATGAAACGCACATAATGTATGTATACTGATGTATATACCTTCTCTTTCTTGGTGAGTAGTGCATGTGCATTTGCATGTGCATTAAATAATACGTAATTCGATGAGAAGTCTATTTATGAGTGCAATTTTCATGTTATAAAATAAAAGAGTTTGATTATTGCAACGCAACGAAACATTTACTATATA